CCAAAGCCACAGGTTCGGATGAGCATAGGTAGCGTCTCAAACATGAGCAGAGATCAAACGCGCCTTCTTTTCGTTGGTTTTCCGTGACAGCTCCCCTTGAATTCATAGCAAACCCCATGTGTAGCTGCCTTTCAGCTCTTATTTCCTGCTTAGACTTTTACTAGCTAATATATCACAGACTCAAAGGGGCGTGTGTGTGTGTCCCTTTCCTTGAGTATGCAGCTGCTAACATGAGACCCACTACTAACACGTGTGTGTTGGTAAGCAACACTGCATGCTGATAGGTTGACCTGCTTCTCCTTCCAGCAGACACATTTATAGTCTCTCAACCATGAGGAGTGGACGGAAGGCTCAGTGGTTAGCCACTGAGAAATTTCAGTAAGGAGAAATACGTTATTGTTTCTGAGGTTACAGAGGTTGTAATGGCAATGGTCTGATGAGTTTTCTGGCACACAATGTGTAGCCTCCCCCACACACACTTCCAAAGTAGAATGCGTTGCTCCTCCAATGCCTACTAACTTCTCATGGGACTCTTCCCCGCCTCATCGGCTATGCTTGGTTGTAATCAAGAAACCCTGCATTAACGGCATGGCATTAGAGGGGAAGAAAAATAATTCTGCAGAACTGTGGAAGATGCCGCTCCTCGCCATGTTCCTGCAAACAGAAGCCAAACCAAATGAGGTTGCCGCTGGCTGTCCTTGGGTGCCACCCACTTGCCACACCACAGCGTGAATTATTGGCATGGACAACACCGCTGTTTGGCGCTCCAGTTTGCCCCACATCTAAGTTCTCCCTGTTCCCAGTGCACGTGCATCCAGCCTTGCAACCTGGGCTCTCGGCGCCAACACTCTTGGTCTAGTTTCCCAGAAATGGGAGTTACTGTCACTCAAATGAGCCGCGCTAAAACTTGGCAGAGGAAGGGCCTTCTGGGCTCAGTAATTAGTCCATTCTTGCAGAATTTGTGATTTCTGTAAATAAAGCAAACATGGGAGGAAATGAACCAACAGACTCCTAAGACCCTGGACCCCAGCCTTTCACACTCCTCCCAACCGTACCGTGGTCTTCTACAGATATCGTGCCCATATCTATAACTACAGCGGCAAAAAAAATAGCTGTTTTATTTTTCACCTATTTTATGTTTAAATTTCTAAAGTCACCCTTGCAAAACACCAAGAGGAGAAAATGCTCTGGAGGGCACAAGTGCACTGCTCCTTGTTTTGACCGTAAGTGGCTGAGCCTCACCAAGCAGTGAGATGCTGAGTTTGCCTGGCAGTCCTTTATTGTTGCTGGATGTTCAGACTCCCAGGGGCAGCATGCCCATGGAAGATACTGTAGCAAGCTGCTTATAAATAAGACTTGGCTAGCCAAGCAGTGCACATGGCGTGCAGGAGGAACGGGGCCCCCTCTGATTCAGCCTGGGCACAGCTGTGGGAAAAGCGACCAGAGTGAAACGCAGCGTGAGTGCCAGCCGTCACCTTGCAGCCCCTCAAACCACGTCAGCAGCTGATGGCTTCCGCCTGCCGTGTTTGCCAGTGGACTGTCATCATTACCGAACCCCAGGAGTCTGGCAGTCACAGTTCCCTGTCAGTAGCAGCCAATGTAATGCCATGTGCTAGAATTTACACCAAATGGACAATCTCAGAGGCCAATAAGAATTTGCTTATACTCCGGATACATTAAAAAAAAACCGACAGAAATTTATGATTTACTACAAAAGTGTAGAGATATGGATACTTGGACTTAATATTTTTCCTCTTAGGATTATTTTTAGGCCAGAGATAACTTGAAGCTTCATGGAAAAGAATTTGTCCACTCTGAGTTTCGCTTTTATTTTGTTCAAAGGTCAGTTTTGTTCAGAATATGGAGGAAAATATACAGCTTATTCTGAAGCCCTCTGATTTAGATAGGTAAACCAACTCCTACACAAATATGCCATGCATAACACTTGGCTCCTGAATGTCAGCCTGGGTTTCCCCTTTATCTGTGTGGTTCTTCCTGCACATCCTGTAATCTTTGGTTTCTGGCATCTGGAAAGTGATTCTCAGAAAGGAAAGAATTCCCACCATAAGGGCAGAACGCAGGTCTATAAGTGGGAATGACGTCATAGAGGGGAGATTGCTTGGCTTTCCATCAACAGCGTTAAGAGCAGTGGAATAGGAGTCATGGCCTCCTGTACGGATAATTACGGATAATTAAGGAAACCCATGAGAGGCTGGAATAAAGGATAACAAATATTTATTTGGGGAAAGACAATAAGGGTAGAGAGTGGTGGTCCTCTGCCCTGTGGGCGCTGGGTGCTGCGAACAGAACCCCGACCACTACCCAAGAGAGCAAGTGAGCTTTCCATCTGCACCTATCAGGCTGCAGGTAGTACCTCAGACCACGCCCTACTGGGCCGGTGCCCAGAATGTGGTAATAAACCACAGCTGCATTTGTAATAGCACACTCAAAGCCCATGGCCAGACACTGTGTTATACACCTTTGGTCTCGACGATCAGGACGCAGAGTCACGACAATCTCAAGTTCGAGGCCAGTCTGAGCTATGCACCAGGACCCTGTCTAAAAAAGAATACTTTGCTGTCTCCTAGAGCTGTTCTGTTGGCACCTTGGAGGGCCCCTCCGCAAGCCAGCTCCCTATCGGTTGGCTTCAGTTAGGCTCTTCCAGTAGGAACCAGAGGGGTCAGGAAACCCTTGTTAGCCCCCTCCCTGTTAGGACTCAGACACTGTGTGCTTGGGTACCCGACTGCGCCTTCAACTCTGGTGCATTCTGGTGCCCTATCTCTTCTTTGTCTCCAGGGGCTTCTCCTGCTGTTGCCACCTTGCATGGTCCTTAAATCACATTGGCACCTTTGTAGATAGTCTTTCCATTGAGCTCTCTTATTGCCCCTCTGAGGCGCCGTTGTTTCCTATCAGGACACAGACATAGATGGTACCTTTGTAGGAAATTTTTTAAAAAAGCATTCAAATTAGCTTTGTGGGTTCACTATATTATCACCACCTCTAGTTCTGTATAGTTTAAAGTTTTCCTATATGAAAAAGATGACCCAAAAGAAAAAGAAAAGGGAACTGTTGGTGCAGTGCATGGTTTGGTGGCTGCAGAGCTGAGCTGGCCATCAGTGCCAGCTCTGTCCCTCAGCTTGGAGAAGAGGTTTGTACCCAGAATGTCCAGCCAAACCGAGCAGCCCCATAAAGCAGTGGGTAGATTCCTGGTAGCCAGACTGTTTTAGGAGAAGATGGGAGTCCTATTAAAGAATATTTTAGACTTAAGTAATTATAAACCAGAAAAAAATAGTAACAAAAATAAGCAAAGCCCTGCAGCGCAGTGTGCTGGGGGAAAGGTCCCTTGCTTTTTCCTCTGTTCTCAGAACTCAATCAGCTCACATTTCTGTGGCAGCGGCTTGGGGATTTCTTGCTACCAGCCCGTTAGCAATCAGGGCTGCAACAGACAGAACTCCGGTGTTCTCTAAATCATCAGCTCAGTCCGCAAGACTGCACACACACACACCACATACCACACCCTCACACATTCACACACAACACACACACATACACACACTTCAGATGTGAGTTGCAGACCCCAGATTGTTACCTGTGTGTGACACCTGACTGTAAATTAGAGTTACTTCCGCCTTCTTTCTGGGTTCAATTAATTTGAGTGAAAATCTCATAAAACTTGACTGCCATTTACTAGACACATCCACTTGCCATCGCTTGGCCTTGGCTTCATACACTGGGGGAAAGGCACACCTCTCTGGTAACGGAATGTGGGCTGGAATTCTGCAGTGCAGTTCCTGACAGGAGCGTTCTCTGGCCATCAACCACTGCCCTCTAAAGTGTTTACACAGGGAAATCAAGGGGGAGTGATGGTTTAGAAAGACGAAGCAGACAGCACTTGCAGTGCACCCTTGAGAAGAGAGGAGCGGCCACGGGAGTTTGTGCGAGCCAGTGTCACCATCTGTTCTCCAAAGAGACGTGAGGGAAGGGGAGAGAGAGCTCGTGGGAGGTTTGCTGACATCCAGAGGGGAAGGTCTGTTTAGTCGATAGGTCAGGAGCATCAAGAGTCTCAGGGTCTCAGATTATGCTCATGGGCTCTCTCTCCCCTTTGTATAGAAATCCCTGGATGACATTAGACAGGGTGTTGAAAGACTGACAAAGTTGACAAACAAATACACACTAAGGCAACAACATTAAGTCTTCTTAGATATTAACCTCTTTTCCTGAATGCTGGCACACCTATCAAATTAGACCCAAGATGATATTACAAAATTAAAAGTCTGGGATAGGTGTGTGGCTCATTAATAGAGCACTTGTCTAGTGTGTACAAGACCTTGGTTCAATTTCCAGCACTGCCAAAATATAAAATAAAACCCTACTAGACATGGCACAGGCATAAGTGATCACTGACTCCTGCTACAACATCCCAAAGAATCTTTTTTAAGACCCAGAAGGATCTTTGTTCAAAATTCTCTTCCACTGAGAAAGAGTGCCCTTACTAAGGCCCCTTTCTGCTCAGATCCCTTTCCTAGCCCAGTTCTTAGTACCGAAACTGACAGAGCCAAGGAAGCCATCAGGATCTGGACTAGAGCATTTCAAAACTCTCTGGGAGGACGGAAATGGTAGTTAGTCTCAAGAAATTCCGTATCCTAGTCGCCAGTTCACACTTTTTTATATAGATGAACCTACATAAGAACGATAGAAGAACTCTTTACACTTAGGCACGAGTCTGAAGCCCTCTGGCCCCCGCTGCACTGTCTATGAACGTTTGCCTTTATGGTTTAGTTCATTGTCTCAGGCATTCTTGTCACCAGGTGATGCGGCTTCCTGTGTGAGACAACAGGGCCGTGTTGGCTTCTGAGGTCATTGCAACATCACCTGACCCATGTCTTCCTCTCCACCTTGTCACCAAGTCATGTGGCTTCCTGTGTGAGACAACAGGGCAGTGTTGGCTTCTGAGGTCATTGCAACATCACCTGACCCATGTCTTCCTCTCCGCCTTACAGATACCTGCCTGAGATCATGAACGATGGGCTGACCAACCAAATCAACAATCCTGAGGTGGAGGTGGACATCACCCGGCCCGACACCTTCATCAGACAGCAGATCATGGCTCTCCGCGTGATGACCAACAAACTGAAGAATGCGTACAATGGCAATGATGTCAACTTCCAAGACACAAGTAAGAAAACCCACGCAAAGACCAGGGAACCCCGCAGTGGAAGATGGTTGTGTGCGATGGCCCTCTCGATGATTATCTTTAATTACACTTCACCTGTCCTTAATCGTGAGCTTTAACAGTCTGAGCCACAAAACTTACACGCTAACTAAAACCATAATCCCTCTAAATAATAGAGGTTGTGTGCACATGTATGTGTGTGTGTATGTATGTTTCTACCTGTTTGCATACATGTGTGGATCAGAGGACAGCCTTAAATGTCATTCGCTCTCCGGTATTATCAACCTTATTATTAGAGACAGAGCCCTGGAGCTCACTGACTCAGTGAGGCTGGCTGACCTATGGTCCCCAGGAATCTTGCTGTCTATGCCTCTCCGGTGCTGGAATTCAGGTGCACACCACCATGCTTGGTTGCTTTTGTGAGTGCTGGGCTCACACTCAGATTCTTGTGCTTGCACAGCAAGTATTTTGCTTGCTAAGCTACTATCCCAGCTTCAGGTAAAATATTTAGCCGCATGAAAGCAAAAACATAATTTCATCTACCAGTTGATCCATTTATAATGAAGCGATCATTCTTACCTTGTCTTTTCTATAACAACATTTATATCTACTCCAAACTCTTCCCTGCCTCACCCATCACTGCCTAAAGAATCTTCTATGGATTTCTTCACAAGCTGGGCTTGAGTCCCCATCCTGTCTCTTGTAAATGACATTATAAACATTCCTTGAATTTATGATGACTCAAAGGTCGCACACGTGTGATAGAAACTGCACTTCAACGTTGGAATTTGGATCTCTTCTTCGGTTATAATTATGTGGTGTGATATTCTCTCATGATTTTGGACAGAAGACTCAAATCGACAGACCCAGTGAGTCTCGAGAACACAAAGATAAACAGTGACATTCTATGGCGTACTGTGCTAGGCTAGGACGCTATGTAAATTACATATTCTCAATTTGTTTGCAATTGTATTATTTTTAATTAATGAGTTTATTGGGACAAGACTTCACTGTAGATAGAGAAGAATCTGTGCCTCCTGAGACTCAGAATCTTCCATTACAAAGGCATTATTAAACGCTTAGGATACAAATAATGACAAGAAGTTCCCACCAGGGGCCTATTGAAGGCTCCTCTGAGGTGACATTTTAAAGAGCTAAGAGAGAGTCTCGAGGGCAGAAAGCAGGTGCAATGCATTATCTTCCTCCCTGCTCAGCTGTACACAGACACAAGCCATAAACATTTAGATCCGGAATATTAAAGAATTAGTAAACGGCTGAAGTAATATTGCACATGACCATTTCAGTGGGGATCATAAGAGCATTTGCAGAGATTCCCTGGGCTCTCAGAAGTGAGCACTGAAATGAACTTAAGTATATTTGGTTTTTGTCTACGTGGCTTCAAGATGCTTAGCTACAGAGGCAAAGGCTTTGTGGGATTTCTCCTCAGGAATGTTGGTTTTTTTTTTCCTTAACTGTATAACCTGAGAGAATCCACAGGGGAAAAAACGTTCTTGACCATTAGTTGTAAAGCCGCCAATGATACTGACATCACTCGCTGAAGCTGAAGATGCCTGTGTATTTGGTTAATGAGTTAGAAAGACACAAGCTACAGGTGGAAGACATTAAGTCATCTCAACTCCACCTCCCTCCTACGAAGCTGTTCCCTGAAGAAGGTTCTTAGCACCTTCCTCCATTTTAAAGAACTCAAGAATTTATTTTCTCCATACAGGGAAATTGCCACGCAATGCTATCACATTTCTCAAAATCATCCCGTTATCTCTTTTGGCTTTGGCTTGACCTCTCTCTTCCTCTTGAGAAGAGAATGCTGCCCCAGCCTTTAGCCTTCGCTGCTGCTGCCTCAGCCTCACGGTCCCCATTCCGTCCGTCCCATTGTCTCCCTGCAGCCACGTGCTGCTGTACCTGGAGAGTAACTGTTTAATGTGTGATAAAGTGAGAATTATCCGATCTTGGCTTTATCGCAGTTCCTTCTTCTCTAGCCTAAAGAGATGTCATCCTGGAAAACTCGAGGAATGTGAAGGAGGCAGTGATTTTTCTCAATTTCTTCTCAGAAGAGAACAAAACGCAGGGCAGTGGAGATCATCCCTTGGTTCTAACTCGAGCACCGACTGTAGCTGTTTCAGGACAGTGCCTGGGCCATGAGCTGTTATCACACTCATAGCTGTCACCACCCTTCCTGCTTGGAAGCGTAATTTCTAAGTTGCCCGTTCTACCCCATAACACCTGCATTTGTGATCCCCTTTAGTAAAGTTGGGGGCCATTGTTTTTCATAGCCAGAACCTCTTGTCATTATTTGCTTCCCACAATTTTAATATTCTAAATCACTCTAATAATATCTTCGTAAAGGTCTTATTACTTCTTGCTCATGGTGCTGGTGTTGAGAACAATTCCCTTTGCAATTCTGATATCTCTGGATTTAATTAATAGGCATTTTTCCGCTCATAAAGGCCAATAATGATAAGGCAGAGAAATGATAAGAAACAAGGATAATGTATTCAAATGATCTTATCTGGTATTTAGAAGTTCCACTGGGGGCTGGATAATGGGGCTGAATGTCTCTTCTTCACTCAGAGGAACAATAGAAGAGTTCCTATACTGCCTTGCCTTAAGTAACATCTGAATCCAAAATGGCGCCCGTGTGTCAGGAGCAGTGAGGCCCAAGAGCCAGGGAATGTTGGCTGAACTCACTGGGCTAATGAGTGGGACAGCAAACCTCATTACACAGATCACAGTTCCTGAATCTTTCCAGAAACACTGTCTCATTCATCCCCACGACAGTTCTGGGACATAGACACATGTCCATGCATGTCTGCCTAGGTTAATAATGGTAGCTTCCATGTTAGGCCACACTTCCTGGAGGAATCAAATCTCTTCCATCTGGCAAGACCGCAGCCGTGAGTTTGCCTATACATTTTGTCCAATTGTCCTGACACACAGCCTGTTACCAGTGCCTTGTGTATAGCTATAGAAACCGATAGAAGTTGTTGATTTAATTGCTCAAGGCATACTGACTTACTCAACAGATTTTATTGAGTATCTGCTGTGCATCAGAGATCAGTGGCCACCTGGAAGTGAATGGTCTATGCAAAGACTCTACCATCAAAATGTTTATCTTCTCATGGAGTACGGACAGTGAAGGAGCAAATACATGGTACAGGCCCCCGTGTTAGGGGGAACTTTCAGGAGGTGGGCACAGTGGGAGCTGGCACGGTGGCAGGGGTTGTCTTAGACCACCTCCAGATATCGAAAGTCAGAGTTACTCAAATCCTTGACATAAAACGACTTGGCATTTGCATATGACTCACACACATTCTCTGACATTCTTAAAACAATCCGCGGGTTACTGATAAGACCTCAGCTAGCAGGTCCTATGTAAACCACCGTTATGCTGTATTTCTTCAGGGGATGACGAGAAGAAAGATGCGGACGTGTTTGACATAGACACAGTCAGGGTAGAACTGCACGTCCACAGCGCTAGAGACAGACTTACGGGGAGCTTTAGCGGGGTCTCTTCAGACATCACACCATTCACCTGGGTTTAACTCGGTATTTGGCAAGTTTGCATTGCTTCTTGGATCTTTCTGGAATTATTTTTACTCCATTGAAATGAACTGAGGTCCTCTGTAAGAGCAACGCTGCCCTTACCCCTTATGCCATGTTGGCTGAATATGTCATCAAACACGAAGGAACCGAACAATGAAACATGATAATTCAGCATCCCCAGAGGCACGGTGGGCAGAAGGGGCAGATGCCTTCCTCATTAGGTATGAGGCATTGAATCAAGCAGGGACCAGCAGCGTTATTCTGTAACGGGACAGAGAGTAAATACGTGAGGTTTAGGGCCATACAGTCTCAGTACCAGCCGCTGTGCCCTAGGACTAGGAAAGTAGCTCTAAGCCACTGGGGTGAGCAGCTGTACCAGTGTTACAATCAAACTATCAGCCTGAACTTCACATGTAGAATTCTTACAGTCACGTGATCGGATCCCACAGTTGCTTATTCCAAACGTTAAAATACATAGATAGTGTCCTTAACATTTGGAGACACAGAGAAATAAGCAACAGGCTGCAGCTTACCCACTCCTTGAAAAGGAGACCATCTTTGCTGTTAGGACAAGACCATGAGAGTTGGTGTGGGGGAGAAGCCAAGCACAATAACTATGTCTACCTTCTGTGGCTCTCTGCCGCTCTTTCTGCAGCTTCCTGCCTGCACTGCCTGCTCTTATTCTCTGTTTTACCTTCAGTGGCCTTTTAAAAGTCTGTCTAAGAAGGTTAAGGTGCCATACACCTTTAAGCCCAGCACTCTGGAGGCAGAGACAGGAGGAGGAGCCTGAGTTTTGGATCAGCTGGGGCTCCCAATGCAAAGAAAAAAACAACAACAACAACAAAAAAAATGTCTTTTAAAAAGCATAATTCCTGCTTAGAGCAGCAGGCTCTGAAGCACAAAACAGCAAAGATCATAATTACTTCTTTAAGACAGACAGAGAGAGAGACAGATAGGTGATTAATAGAGAAAGAGATGATTGATAGATGACTTATAGATAGTTAATAGAGAGATAGTATATATTTTATATATATATATAAATTGTGTGTCTGTGTGTGTGTGTGTGTGTGTGTGTGTGTGCGCGCGCACGCATGAGTTTATTGTCTTCATGTATGCAGAAGCTGGGACAGGCCGGAAGAGGGTGTCAGGTCTCCAGGAACAGAGTTACAGGTGGCTAGGAACTGCCTGGCCTGATCCTGGGGAATGAACTGAGACCCTCTGTAACTGGGGAATGAACTGAGACCCTCTGTAAAAGCAAGACTGCCCTTAGCCCTTACGCCATGGCTCCAGCACCAGGAACACAATTCTGTCATTTAAATGTATCTAATATCAGTGTTGTTGAGGGGCCACCCACTGCAAGTTTTCCCTGGGTAGTAGATACCAGTGAGTACCATGTTTCAACGCTGTTTCTGGCCTGTTCAACCTGCCCACGAAGGACAAACCTGTGGGCAGATGAGCAGCCCTTTGCTGGGAGTGTTTCTCCCTCTCCTTGCGGTATGAACTGTATGGTTGTTTGTCTCTACTTCCGGCCAAGCGCCCTAACTTTCCTTGTCAATCTTCGCCGGACAGGTGATGAATCCAGCGGCTCAGGCAGTGGCAGCGGGTGCATGGATGACGTGTGTCCCACGGAGTTCGAGTTTGTCACCACCGAGGCCCCTGCGGTGGACCCTGACCGGAGAGAAGAGGAATCTTCGGCGGCGGCCGCGCAGGGCAGCTACTCACTTCTTTCCTGGTCTCTGGTCTGCATGGTCCTCGCCCTGCAGAGACTATACAGATAATCGCCGGCTTTGGTCAAATGAAACTGCATTTTAGCTCTTCAGTGGCCAACTCCCCTCTTTTCTTACACTCTTGGACAACGGACCATGCCACAAAAACTCGCCGTTTTCTATGACCAGAGAGCAGTGTTGCAACCTGCCTCCGTTTTTGTTTTCCCAAAGAGCACCGGGTGCCAGAGGATCGGCTTCTTTCCTTCAGCTCTCTCTGGGGACCTTGTTTATTCCAGAGAGAATTCTTACTCAAATCTTTCGTACCAAGAGATTTTTTTTCTTACCGTCATTTGCTTTTATGCTGCAAAATTAAAGGGATTTCACGTTGTGAGGGTTCTTTTTTTCCTAACACCCCACTTAAAATAAAATAAGATAGGAAGAAAATAATTTTCCTTTTCAAATCAGGCCAAACCCCAAGACAACTGCCTTTTCAACAAGCAAGCAAATAAAGGAACTCTCATGCTACCGGGCTTGGCAGCCCTGGGGCAAGCTTTCCTGTGACAAGCCAAGTTTACAAAATGCTTATGAGGAGGAAGCGTAACATTTTTTTTAATGTAGTGGAAACACGCTGTTGTCTTGGAGGTATTGTCTTGCACTCTGCCCAAAATGATTTGGAGGTACTAATAGTAAATTTAGGATTCTGTCTTTATATGAGTAGTAATCTTACAGCAACTCAATGCCTCTCTTTCACCTGCCTGATGCCATGTTCACTGACGGCAGTATTTTCTCACTCTCCTGACACCTGTCCACTGTACCCAATTGGCACCAGTTGTCTTCAGTTCTTCACGGATGCCCCTGTCAAGTCTCATTTCTCCTGGGTCTTGACTAAAAAACAAAAAACAAAAAAACAAAAAAATTATCTTCATTGGTACAGTCTCGACTTTCGCCACCAGTCTGATGTGAATTAGACCTCATAGTTCCTCTGTCCTGACTGTCCCCCAGATAAGAGTTCTCTCACTGACATGATAATTAGCTCCACACATGAGTTTCTGTTCTGGACTCTTTGATTTGTGTCAATTGGTTTCAGCATTACAAGGGCATTCTCTTGCAAAATGACTCACAACAACAAAAAAACTCAAGACAAAAAAAAGAGAGAGAAAAAAAAACACTATATATATAGTACTGACATGGAGATTTCGTTCACTTTTTTAGTCTTAGTAATGATCATCTATTTTTATATCAATATATATATATATAAATCACAGATTTTAACTTCTTAATTCCAAGCTCAGGGTTGACACTCCTTTGTAACAAAACTGTTCTGTCAACCAGGTCTTCTTGTTTTGTGGGGCTCAGAGAAGGGACTCCTCAATGATCTGTGAGCACCAAGAAATCAAGAAAGAGAACTTTTTATGTATCTAACTGTCCATCTAGTCCAAGTTTGCCAGGGCACACCCTTCTCACACAAGTTTGCTCTGTCCCTGTGCTCCAAACTGTCCTGAGCTCAGGGGATGAGCCCTGGTGTACAGGACGTTACTGGCAATGGAATGCGTATGTGTAAAGAATGAAAAACCATTGCTCTCAAGTACAACACCTCTGGCCTAGGACTCCTGCTGGGGACTACAGTAAATGACCTAAACTCAAGAGGCCAATTCTAACTGACCCACAAAGTCAGGCTCAGTGCCCCGCCCAGCAGAGAGAAGCAAAGCAAACCAAACTGGGGTTTTTTGAAGACAGTTGGCTAGCCATGTGGTTTTGGTTTTGAGGGGAGGGTTATTCGTTTTGTTCTGTTTTGGGTTTTGGTTTTTACAATGCATCTGCATTAGAGAGAAGAAATGATTTCAAGACACCACGGCACGCCAATCGCATCTTAACTGGCTCATCGACAGTGTTGACACATAGATGGTTCTAGCTCTATTTTCACCAAAAATGAAATTAGTTATCGATTTAGTCACCATGTCTAAGTAGAACACATGCACTAGTATTAAGCATATTTGAGCACTTTTGAAAAACAAAACATCTTTACCCACAACGGTTGCTACTGTATGCCTAACAGAATATGAAGTGTAGGATTCTGAGAGACTTTGTGGCATCTTTCGCTTCAGTTTGTGTGAAATTAATCCTTAGTCAAATCCAGAATTGCATCCCTCTGGAAAACCACCCAGTTCACTGCCCCCCTTCGGCTTTTAGTCACCATTCACACATAACATCTCCACGAAGGACCAGTCATTTACGTTACTCAGCTCACTGTATGTTCAGAAATCAGTATTGTTCGTCTCCAAAAATTATGGTGCGATACAAATTAAACCAATGTTGATTCTCGAGGATATCTGAGTAATAATTTTTATGATGGAACATGAAGCTCCCTCTTCCTTTTAGAAATATTTCTACATTATATTATTTCTATAACATCCATCAAGATTCTTATTTTTTACTATGCTTTTGACTCCACATGGGTTTTTTTTTCATTGCACACGACAACACATTACATTAATGAGCGTGAGCCCATGTTCTGTGCACACTATTCACACAGCTACTATAAAAACACTTGCTTCCTTCGTTCCAACACCTATATTCTCAAAGGTATCCCTACTGACAAGATCTACCAGGCGAGAGTTGGAATGAGACTCGGCCAACTAAGCCACATCATTCGTCACCTTGCACAGACATGGTCAAAATATCATTCACTTGAACTTCCTGGTTTTTGTAGTCATTCATCATATGAGTTTTAGAGTAATTTAATGCTAAGGTGTTTTGTTGTTTTTTTCTGTTCCCTCGGCCTTTTCATTGAGTTTCCCCTTTTCAGTACTGTAGAATCCTCCTCGCAAACTTGCTTTCTCATTTTAGCAGAGTGATAGGGGGTGTGTTCATTCTCCATCGCCACTCGTAGCCTCCCCTCATTTGTGAAGATGTCCCCTAAATTCCATAATCACATCACAACTTGTGTTATGAGTAGAGAGGAATGGGACCCCAAAATTGGACACTAGAAATTGGTGGGTGGTGCTCATAACTGCAAACACTTAGCTTATTGAAGTGCCTCTATTTACATGTTCTTTAGTTATAATATGTATTTTTCTAACAGAAATACACGTCTGTAATTGATGTTTATTATACTTTGTATATGTTACAACAAAGGCTACATGGAGGCTAATGTCTTTAGCAGAGAAGAACGAACCATAAATTTATGAATAGGAGCCTGGATTGACAGCCATGAGTCAGCCTTCTGTCATTGCAGTGAAGGCCAAGTTGGCACTTTGACTACACCATCGAAGACTGTAGCGCTGGAAGTCTGACTCCCTTACCATGATTCGCCCAAGGAGGAAGGTGCCACGAAACACCTCCTCAAGTGTAAGGGGTAGAAGCTACTTTTGTCTACACTGAAAAACACGATTCATTGATGAGCGGTACTAATTTTGAAAGGAGCATTCTTTAAATCAAACACATTGAAAATATTGTTGAATGCAGAACCATGAATCCTGAGTTCCATTCCCTGCTAGAGACATCAGCCTTCTTCAATTCTTCTTGCCATTACACACATATTTGGCTACAGACTAAGCACCAACTTAAGTCCTCAAGGAGGAATACAACTTGGTAAAAATCATTGCTTGCGATTCTTTTTTCACCTCTTTCTGCAAGGCTATCAGGTAGTTTGACTTCAGGTTTCAAGTCTTAAGAGACACAGGATTTGACTTCTCCAAACACCTGCAGATACTCAAGCTCGTTTTCTTTGATTTACAATTGCTAACACATTTAAATTTAAAAAAAAAAAATGTAGCCTTGCAACCCGAAGAGGAAAGTAGTCCATAAGTTCTAAACCCGCAATGTGTTCCTCCTTGGTAGAGACACTAGCCAGTGCTTAGTTTTAGGCCAACTTCTACAAATAGAGTACTGATTTGTACGCACTCTGGAGACTTGCTCTGTCATGATTTGCTGCAGCCCAGATTCAGCTTAGCGTGGGAATGCTTGGAACTTCACTGGGAGTGGAGTGGATACTGGAATCATTGGCGTGGCCTTGTAATGGCGGACTCCGTGAGCAACACCTGATGAAGGCACCACAGTGTAGTCTCTGTGCGCATAGACAGAACACATATGCGGGAGAAATGTGTGCACCAATCAAACCTAAAATTTTATGTGACTGTCAAATGACTATTATTTGGGTTAAGATTTTTTCATTTCTGATTTGGATAGAAAATTGCTATTAATCTTGTATTAAAATAGTTTTTAAAAATCTACCTGTGCTCTCTCTGTGCTTCCTAAATGACATTCGTAGCCTGTGGTTTATATTTTAAAGTCTTTTTGTTCACATCATTTTAGAAGCATCAGTACTGAAAATCCATAGTCAACCAAGCACACACAGCACCGGAAATTGCACATCTCGGCAAGTTTAGGACTTTCGGTTTCTTGATGTATAAGGAAAGCGCTCAACCCCTCTTCTGTTTCTTGTTGAAAAACCCATGTAGCATCGTAGAACTAATATCAGTACCCTACAGATGCGGTCAGAAGAACATAAGATCACCTGTCAAAGGACTAACTGCTTCCAAATGGGCAAACCGTGTCGACTTTCTATTTCTGAGATGCTCCCCTGCCCCCATTCGCACTGAATACACTAGCCCTCTAGATTCACTTAACCATCGGGTCTGAAACTTTTCCTGGTCGCCCTGCTGTGGGTGCTGGGCCGCAAGTATCCAATTGCAACCAGGTATGAAGTACTCAGTCCTCAATATCGTTAGCCATTATTTTAGTAGAAATACATCATTAATTTCAAGAACACTCTTAAATGAGAGTCTATATTAAAGAGGGTATCAAGAATGCAACATTTAGCTGTGAGGAACGCTACAATTTAATTCACTTTTCACCATCGTGGTTTTTATCAAGCAAAGCAGTTTTCACAAGACCATTTGGGGGCTCTAGAACAAATGCACCTCCAAAATCAGAATGCAACAGATTTCATTTAGAAGCAAACTGGAACCAGTTTAATGGGGAAAAAAAAAACCATGAAATGCAGAGTACTTTTCACTAAGTAGTAAGGATGTTTATTTTGAATAAATATTCTGGGAAATACTTATCAAGCATGAGCATCAAAATATAAGTTTATGAAACAGTGGCAATCAGAGGTCAAATATATTTTTGTGCTTGAGAGCTAGCGAGGCACGGTTGCCAGTGTGAGCCCAGGTGAACAAATGTGCACGCTGCTGTGGTCTCTGTGTGCTGCTCTGCCATTCATTTGACAGTGTAAACAAGCAGGCAAGCATACAGTGTTGGGTTATACATGGGGCACACAGCAAAGCCAGGAGGAACCCAAAGCCTCCTTTCTAACCTGCCAAGGGAGCCTGGGCTCTTGTGCTCCTTGAAGCACAACCAGAGCAAGAACGGGGAAATGTCCTGAGAATACACCAGCGTGGAGAGCAACAGAAAGGAGGCCAGCACACTGGATTCCAGAATGCAGAAAAATATCTACCTTAAACAAGCTTATCTCTTCGAAGCACACATAGGGTTGTCTGTCTTGTTTTAAGAAACTTTTCATGGACTTCGGTAAATGACCTTTCTTTCCAGAGATACAAGATGACCCGTTATCACGAGCCAGCAACAGTTACAGGTCTAAGAGCAGGTGGCATGAGCTCTGCTTCTTTCTAAGCATCTGGCATCTCACCCGGAGTTAGGCAGATACAGCCAACGTATAAGTGAACATGGTAACTTCAAAACGTAGGAGACAACATGACAGGACTTAAACACAGGAATGGCACCAGGGAGGGACTCAGGTGATAGAGAGCCTCCCCAGTAGGGTGTGAGCTCCCATCTAGTGAAATGAAGGAGCAGTCAACCCTCTGATGGGACGCTGGCTACTTACCAGACCAGCAAAAACTAAAGAGGACACCTGCAGCATGCTTGGTCATTTAACTGTGTTCTCTCTTGACCCTTTTTCTCAATTAAAAACCCTAAATAGAGAAACTATGGGCTCTGGGTGCTTGCATGCCTTGGACATGTAAGTACTGTGAATCAAAGCATGACGTGTGGACAAGAAGTACATGAAGTCTGCATTCCTTTGCCCTCAGTTTGTCCTACATACCACATTCAGAAGAAAAGCAAATTCTGTACAGTGTCTTGTAGATCCACGGACTCCACCTTTCATCGACCTTCCTTGCAGTTTATTTACCTGGTGCAACGGTCAACCTGACTCCACATAGAGGTTTAAAAAACTGAGCGGCCAGGCAGCACAGGCAGGAATGGGCATGGTACCTTTGCTGACCACTGTAGCAGCATCTGGGAAAGGACTATGATGCTGGACCCTTGTCCATCTAAGTCCTGATGCTGGTGGCCATGTCTGTCCTGAACTTTTCTCTTAAGACATCTGGAAATGTGACTGTCAAGTTAAAGAAAGGTCTGTCTAAAGAATGAGATTATTCTTTCTTGACACAGCACGCCCTATATTCGTAAAAAGCAGCTCATACAAAAGGGAAAAGTCACATTCATCTTCCTATCATGATCAACGTCACATGTCCCTGACTTAGGCAGACGTTCCTGCCTTGGCCATACAGAGCAAAGAACCTGCGTGGTGAAGCCTCCATCTTCTCTCCTGGCTTTGGTTGACCGCCTTCACCCCTTCTTCTCTTTTGGCCCCCTCAGGCTACTCAAACCCTAAAACTTGGATTTTGAGTTATCCTGGTTCCTATCAGCCTCTTCAAATGTGGGGACATGACACAGCTGTTCAGCAACAGGATCCTAGTCGCCAGTTCTGAAGCTGATGCTGGCACAGAGACGCCAGGGTTTCCACTCATCCCCAGTTCTGAATCATATACTGTGGGTTCCATTGTGGATTCTGGTACCCTGCTCCTGCGTGTGAAAAGTGTGATGCCCCAGATTATAGTACGCAATGAAGACACTATGAAAAGCTTGACGATAATAAAGGGATAATTTTAATGTTTATTTGTTTGTTTAAACCAGTTCGTGTAAATTAGCGCTTTGAAACTGTCTCAGTAGAGTCACAGATACACCTGGCATTTTACACGCGTTTGATTTTAAGAAAGAAGGAAGCCTTTTTATTGGTGTAAAGGAAATCTATATACCAAGCAATCTGTATTTGGGCAGAGAACTTGAACCAGGAAAGCTAGGTAAACAAAACTGGCTTTTTCTAGAAAACAGTGGCAGTAGCTTTCCCACACCTGAAGTCTTACTTACAAGGATGTGATTGCTCTCCTCCAGTGTCTTAGGAGCAGAGAAGGCTTGACTTGGGGTAGCATGGGAGGGGGTAAACGGAGATGGAGTAGAAACCATCCCTCCATCGTGAGCTTCATCTTGCTAAGGAAGATACAAAGCCAATGTGTCCCAGACTTTCTAAGATAATCCCCTGCTTCTGTCCCAGTATAATGATTGACAGTGTCTCTTTCACCCTCCATAATGTCTTTAGCTTATGTGATAAGTTATAAGTTCACTGAAGGTTTAATAATGCCCATTTACAAGATCAAGTTATACTCACGTGCATGTAACCCCTCATGGTTTTTCCAGATATTTTCCCAGCTGAAACAGACAAGGTAGCCTCAGTCAACACCAACTCCTGAGCTTACGAGCATCCTACCTACTTGTTGCATTGTAAAAAAATTCTGGAATTAGAATCAAGAATCCAAATACCAACTCTAGCATCATCAAGTACACAATGCTTGGCACTAACCACGAGCCTGCTTTCATCCTAATATGGACTGCACTTGGCACAGGACCTCAGGAGGATGGTCTTTCTGCACCTCAGCATTTGAGGGGGGCGGGGTATGTCAGTAAATGAAACACCCAGCGACTAGAGCTTTCGCACACCTGTGCTGTGATCCATTCACTACTGTCGAGAGATAGAATTTGAGCTCCCCTGTTTCTCATTTGCCAGTCTTAGCAAGACCAGACCAACAATAAGCATGTCTTTCCTTCCTTCCTTCCTTCCTTCCTTCCTTCCTTCCTTCCTTCCTTCCTTCCTTCCTTCCTTCTTGAAAGTCATATATAGGTTTGACCGGTGTTTCTGGCTTAGCCATATAAACCAGAATTCCTCTGTGTCCTAACATAGCACACATGATACATGAGATTTGCATTAGACAGTACCAGTCATTCCCTAGGCACTACTGTGACCTCCCCCAACTTGCCTCCTTCCCCTCTCGAAGAAGTAGAAAAAATGCAAGGAAATAACAGGCACGGAGTTTTCCAGCAGGGAGTCCACTCCGACTCAGAGAAGGCCATTTTAGAGCTGTGTCCATTCAGTTATCAATTCTACAATGCTACTGGCAGCGTTTCCATCTGATGCCGGCGTTGGAATAATAAAAGCTTTGTGGTGTTCCACTTATCATCTGGAAGGATGAGCTCCCTGAGAGAGCAAAGTGTGATATAAAGAGTGTCACCTGCTGATACCCAGCATATAAAATAACCATTTGCTTAAATCATTCAGCCCTCCACAGAGCGCTCCCGGCATCCTCCTGCAAGATCACCTGGTCCTGGAGACTTTCCCTTGAAGGATTGGTTGGACACAAATGTGCACATTTGCATGGCCTACAGAATAGAGATGGGGATTTCTTCTAGAGTTTGTAGCGTTAGATAAGATGCGAGATGGAAATTCTCCTCAAATGCATTTAATTATTCAGAGCCCTGCACTCTGGCGTTAGTTTAGGAAGATATATAATTCATCCCGACACGTTCCTTCTCATCAAAGAGAAAATAGTACCATAGGCCAAAAAATAGTGTAAGCAACACCGTAATAACAATGCCTGGGGCCTGTGCTCAGTGAATTAGTTCCTCTTGTTCTAAAAATAGAACACTCACTGGACGAGAGGACGTTTCGAATCCCAGCACTTACGGGGCAGAGACAGGAGGATCTCTGTGAGTTTGAAGCCACAGTGTGGTGGCTGTTCTTGTTTGTCAACTTGGCTGCATCTGGAATTAACTAAAACCAAAGCAGTTTGGCACGCCTGTAAGGGATTTTTTTCTTCTTAATTAGATCATTTGAAGTGGGAAGACGCACTCCTAGTCCAGATCTTCTGAGAGGAGATCCACCTTTAATCCAGATCTTCTGAGGTGGTAAGATCCACCTTTTATCTGGGTTACACCTTCTGCTGGCAGCCTATAGAACATGGGGAAAGGAAGCTCTCTCCTCTCTGACTGTTCACCCTCACTGACAAATCTATTCATTCACTGGCATCAGAGCCTACAATCAGATGAGACATCCAACCTCATGAACAGAACAACTACTGGATTCTTGAACATT